ATGACACAAGAAAAGATAACAAAAAAAAACTATCGTTTTTTATCTGATGTAGATGTCATCTGTGATGATATTGCATACGATTCAAAATGCGTTTAATAACAACTGTTGATTCTTTGTATTTTCCTCGACCATCGATCATCGATTTATTTTCTCATATATTTCTCAATTTATTTGTCACTGGATTATGGGTTTATATTTATCGACATCGATCTTTTACATTTCTTGCTTTAGCAATGTTTTTTCCAAGTATATTTGCAATAACTATTCATATTTATCATGGTTCATTCATCAGTTTTATTACATTTCTATTAATTAATCCACAATGGTCGACTGTCTATTGGTCGATAATCGGTTGTCTAATTTCAATTTTTACAATCATTATTTGTTGTTTGTTAAATTATATTTTTGGTTGGGCTAAATTTTGTTCAAAAAAAGAAAAATTTCTATCAGTACATGAACATAATAGTAAATTAATATATGGTTGGATACGAGCTATGGGAGAAGAAATTGGATGGCGATCTTATCTCTTACCTGGTTTATTGATTCATTTTCATCCAATAATAGCATTAAATATAAGTGGAATTGTATGGGGTTTATATCATCTACCTATTATGATTCTCTTATGTTTTCAACCACAATCGAAAGTTAAATATCCAATTCGTACCATAATTGTTCAATGTATGAGTTGTTGGATTTCAGCATTTTTCTATGGATGGATTGCAATTCAATGTAAATATTCAATGATACCACCTACAATGATTCATTTCATTTGGAATCAAATTAATCCTCGACTATTAGGATCAATTTATACAAATACACCAGGATGGATGATTGGTCAACAATGGAAAATAAATGGAGAAGGTTTAATTGGATGTTTTGTTTATTTTATTCTAGCAATAATCATTCTAATACAACTTTATTGAAACATTATAGATTGTCTTTCATTAGTTGAAATTCGACAAAAAAAATTCTATCAAATTAATTTTTTTTTTTTTGTACTTTCGTATTATATATTTATTTAAACATAGAAGAAATTAATAATAAATAAAAATGATAATCGTTAGACAATGAAAGTAATCAATTTAAGAAATTCTACTTGGATTAATAATGACTATTTCTGATCTTTCTCCTATAGTCAACATTATTTTAACACACTAGATTATATCAGAATTTTTCTAAAACTTCATTACTTCTTTTTGATCTGAGAATGTCAATATTAGCCTTGAAATCGGCAAAATTTTTATTGTATTCAATCGGTCGAAATTCTTGATTTAACTAACAAAGAATGGTTAATTCAATTACAGCACTTAACTGGTGAAAAATCGATTCGTTTAACATAGCAATACAACAACTAGTTCTTTCGCGAAAAAGTTTTTTACTAAAACTCCATGAAACATATAATGAAATGTTTATAAAACTCTTGAAGTTTTTATCTTAATCTGCCATTTTCCATATACACTAATAATATGAATGACGGAAGCGTTCTTTCAAATCTTTTCATCAAATAATTCACAAAAACTGATATTGAATAATATTTTACTTGAGTTGTTTTTCATAAAGATATGATGTCGTTACAAAAAATTGATAAATTTAATATACTCTTCTTTCAAGTCATTATTTATCACGAGCAAAATCCTTCTCAATGCCTATGAGACTACTAGTGTCGATAGAAAGGCAACATTAGCCAAAGTGTGAGTTTTTAAATATCGACAGATTTTTCTCTATTCTAGAAGACTAGTAGTTGATATAAATTATATAGCAGAACGAAATCTTCTCTGATATTTTTGGCACGAAAGCATCGACTGAAAATAATTGGATATAAAACATTTTTGAAAGTCAGTTCAACTCAGTCCAGAAAAATGACTGCTAGCTATGGATGATTTTAATTAAGTTGTTCAACATGATTCGATGCCCATGTTGTACAACTATGATCTGAAATTATTTATTTTATTACAATGAAAAGAAATTCTTTTCATTTACTTTACTTTCACTTGTAACTCTTTTGAAAAAATCTTCTAATATGCGAAACAATGTACATAAATATTCAAAGTTAAATTTGGGAAAAAAAGGCAATATCAATTTCTTTTTCTATATAGATAAACTATGCATCATTTTTTATATATAAAATATCTCAAGCGTCCCATCTATTTTTCGTTTTCATCATTTAGATTGTTGTGTTAGATGCAAAACATGTTTTTCTCAATTAAACAAAAGTTAATAACTCAAGTTTGATTATAGTTCAACAAGTCAAATTTTGATGAAAAAATGGAAAATTTTTAATCTGACGTAAATGAATAAAAGCATCTAGGACAAATACATCTAGTTAGAATTTTTTTTGATCTTTTTCAATAAGACAAGAGAAACACTATCAATCTACTTGTCATTAACTTTTTTGACATTTACCTAAGTGATAACAGAAAAGTTTTCAACTTCGATTAGGATATTTTCCAATATTAACATGCTCGACGATGGATTAAGTTATAGAGAGAACCAATCTATTGAATTAGCTGATTTATTGCTAACTATAGAAATATTAAGAAAAAAAAATTTTCTTTAATCAAAGCGACATTGAAAAACACTGTATCATAACACTATTATCATTAACTTTAATATAAGAATTAAAACATATTGTAAATTCCGATAAGAAACTTGATTGATCTAATCTCTTTGGTTATTGCCTACAATCTATTGTCGTATGTTATGAGCCTTTATTTTTTTTTAAAATTATCGCATTAAATTTAGAATTATGTCAAGTCCGATGGTTTTAGAATTCATAAATTCTATTCATTGTTTCTAACATAACAATGGTTGAGTTTTTAGTTAGGCGATATGGCGACTTGAACTTGAAAAATCCATTGATATTAGTTAGCAAAAACACGATCGACATCGTTTGTTGATGACATTTACAAAAATGAATTCGCCATCAATATTATCCCAGTAAACAAAGTTGTTCATTTCTTTAAATCACTTAATGTTGCCAGTAGTAGACTCAACAAATGCATAGGAAGAAAAATTTTTTTTTAGTTGAAAATATATTAATGCATTTTTGTTATGAATGAATCAAGATTGGAATAGAACATTGAGAATGAAACAAAATAATCTTTTATATTGATGAATTAAGAACCGATTGACATATTTGTTCAATTTGTTATGTCTTAAAAGAAAGAAAAAAATACACTCGACATATTTGATGATGATTTTCTTCATCAGTATCCTTAAACATATAAGTTGTTCATGTACTTATTATCTTGATTAAGTTCGATATAAAAAAAATTAAATAAGTACAATATTCCATTGAGTTTTTATGTTTTGTCGTTGACATTTTTCGAGAAGTAACCACTTATTCATTTTTGTTTGCAAAGCCGAATAGATGCAACCATAGTAACGTCCACGTTAATGTGTACATGTTTACCAATTACTATCAACGATGGAATTTTTTTTTCGTTCTTTAAATTGAATAATTGCGTTAAGTACTTTCAAAAATTTCTCTATACAGTGACATAAAAACTGACAGAATCAAAATAAAAGCGAAATTGAAGAAAAAAATATCAATTATTATTCTTTGGTGCATTTATCACGGTTCGAAAACAAAGCTATTCATTTATTCTTTTATGCTGACAATAATAAAATAAATCCTTGTGGTAAGTAACATTGTTTGTATCTTGTGCAAGTTCAATGATTTCTTTGAGAAAAATTTTAAATTGAATGTCAACTCGTTCTCATTAAATTTTACTTTCAATTTTGGGCACAGAAATTTTTCAACAACAAATAAAAATTCATGAACATGTTAAAAATGATATTTTCTAACCACTTTTCATTATACTATTGCTTCTAGTATGACTATTAGATAGGAAAAAAAATTTTTTTTTTTTTCTATCCATACAAAGCCGATGTTTCTAGTATTTGAATATTCTTACTAAAGTTTCAACTGAAAAGAGACTTTATATTGAGCTTGACTTTTTCTCATTAAACTCTACATATTGAACTAAGTCGTCTTGAAAATTCTAGACTTATTCATAAATTTGTAGATTCTTCTTAAAAAAAGTCTTAGAAAATTTCTCGAAAAGTTTTATTCGTTGGAAAATTCAAGAGAATAGTGTCTTTTGGCAATTGTTTTATTTTCTTCTTTACTTGATAAAATTCGATTATTAAATAGAATATCATTGATAAACATTTGTTCATCAAGTAAGAATCAAAGAATTAAAACAATGCACTGTAATATGAAAATTGCTTGCCTTTGTTTAATCTTTTCGTCTTTTGAACAAGCTTATGATTATTCTCTATGAATGAAAAGACATTTATCTAGTTATTGAAATAAATAATGAGTCAACAGCGTACAATTCGTGGTCGTCCCAACTTGACATCAACGATGAAGAACAGTAATGATGATCGAATGACATCCGTATCTACTTCATCTCTTCCATTGAATAAAGAAATAGTCGCTTCTAGCAGGCAATCCAACCATTCAGACATACAAATAAATTGTGAATCTATTATATTCATTTGGTTAGACTTAAAATCAATATCGACTTCAACATTTATTGGTTCACTTCGAGCAATTAATGATAGCGTTCGAACTTATACTGATCTATCAACCTGTTTGAATGCATTACAAGATGCAAAAGAGAAAATATTTTTCATATCGTCGTCAAGTAACGAAGAATTGATTGAAACAATCAATGATATTGATTGTATTGAGGCGATATTTATACTTGATTATGATCTAAATCCTATAAAAGGCATTTATCATAAGCTTCTAGGCATCTTTACTCAACAGGAAGAACTTATTCGAATGCTCAAAGAAATACTCGATAGATTTATACAGATTCAACTTGAAACGTTTTTATTTGAACAAGATACAATTTTTCTCTGGTTACAATTATGGAAAGAGGAGGTATCTATTGGAATTTTGACTAATATAAATTATCTTTGACATTCAATTGTTTGCATAGTTCATAAGCCGAAAAATTCCAACGAATAACAAATGTGATTTCGTCAAAATGGCTCGAGACTATTATCGAACTAATCCAAGAAGGATCAGACTTGTCGATGAATTCGATCGAACATATCGCCCCAAAGAGGCTCTGCATTGGTCTATCCAAGATTCATTTCCTTCATATCTTCTACGCCATGCATTCATATCTTGTCAATCGGAACAGCTCAATTTATGTCGATTTCTAATTGCCGATACATCTCGATTGATACAACAACAATCGAAGCGTACTGGAAGTCTTCAACTCTATCGTGGCATGAAATTACCAAGTAAACTAGTCGACAGCTTCGAAACACATACAGGTAAAATTATGTGCGCATGTGGCTTTTTTACTTGTACAAAATCAAGAACGGCTGCCTTGGAGTTAGCTTCATCGCCAGGCTATCGAACTGATCTTTCATCGGTTTTGTTTAAAATTGATTGTGACGTATCGGTAAAATTAGCCGAGATGTCTACAGAGGATCGTTCACCAATTGTTATCTTCGATGTTGGTACGACTTTTCGTATAATATGTGTTAATCGGGCTACAATCTCTATAATTAAAATGAAAGCAGTGCCCGATCAAGGAAAAAAATTAGTACAAGACTATAAAAATAATCATAAGGGAGAGACTATTCAAACAATGCTTGAACAGCTATTAGCTCCTCAAAAACTGTCATTGTCTCCTCCTTCAAAACCTATACAGCCATCATCTTCATCAGTTCAGCCCTTAGACAGGTAAATGTGTTTTATAACAAGTTGACCCAACGAAAAAAAACATAACTCGAACTGTTCACTTTGTAATTCACATGTTTTAGTAAACCGATGATATCTGATGATGAATTACAAGCAGAAAATCATATTAAAAATGGTAAAATTGATTTAGCAATTGCTGCATATCAACGTATCAGTCCTGTGTCAGCTTCTATATTCGTCCGGATTGGCCATCTTTATGCTGATAAGAAAGGAGATTATGATAATGCGCTTAATTGCTATATACAGGCACTCAAAATTCAAGAAGAAGTAAGTAAAAGAAATGAAACTCAAACAAAATCTAAAGTCAGGAATGTTATGAACGAAAGTAGTATAGTCTTGTCTTATGCCTACTGACGGGAGGATTGGTGATGCCGCTCTGTTGAGTATGCCTGAAACATCAGTTTGTTTTAATATTTTTATTTTTATT